ACAGAAACTTTCGTGGGAAAAAAAGGAAAGATCCCTGATGTTCTTCGAACAGGATGCATCCCGATATCATGAGTGAAATGAAGGTAAAAACAAAGGTGAGAAGTGGGGGAATAACTAGCCTGAGTTATGGCCTCAGAAGGTCAGACAAGCCTGAAAAAAAGTGGGGAGTTGGGCTCAACAACCAGTTTTTCCGTACAGTGTAGATGAGTCCCATAGACCAAAAAGCAAGCTTTACCGCCATTGTACTCAGAGGATATCGTGAGCCTCTAACGGGGAGGTTGCCAGGAAGAGCAGGAGTGAGTCCGTCTCGACCTCCTCTACGAGCAACGGGTGATCGGCGCTACTAGATCGGTTGGGAAGAAAAACGATTGATGATAAACGCGCACGTAGTAAGCTCACCCAGCCCGCTTGACATCGGCCCCAACTGATATACCATCTGAAAAGTCAACTCCGAGCTCATGTCAGCGTGCCCCGTCATCTGGATTGACTGAAAAAGACTGAGTCTGACGTCGCAGGATGGCCGACAATCCTTCTCATTATTCCTTTTATAGCTGAACAGTCACGGAAATAACGCTTTTCCTCATGAAAGTAATTGAAATGTTGAAAGTATTGCAAAAAAGGAGTGAAATAAGAATAAAAACTGAGTGTACTCCGGTGGGGACTACTGTAAAGAGGAATGTATCGAGCAGGGAAAAGCATGATGATGCGAAAATTTTTTATCAACTCGACAACTCACCGTCTCCCCGCTCCTGTCCTTCCTCTTCAGCCTAGAATATGCCTGTTCTCACTTTCCATTACGGATTTCCATGCGTACCGTAGCATTTTCTAGAGAAATTCGATTTTTAGTAGAATACTCGAACCAACGATTGAAAAAAAAAACATTTAAGGATCACCGTCTATCAAGGGACTATCGCAGTCCTTTAAATTTCAAGCTATTCAGACGGATAGGGCAGAAAGCATTATTAGTAACCTTTCCCTCAAACTTTCTCGTCTAGTGCGACCCCCCCCCCCCTTCACCATGTTATCTACCATCTTAATGACTGTTCCCACTTCTTACCACTTTTTTACCATTTTTTTCTATTTTTCAGGGCTTCGACTGCGCTGCCGACTTGCTACCTACTTGGTATTGCCTTAGGAGCCGGGGCACTAGCAAGGCGCTTGGCCACTTCCTGTCGCTGGGGGATATTCACAAAATACGACCCCCATCTTTTCGTTAACTGATCGACCTCTCTTCCCTATGCTACCCACCCTTTACTGGCTGTTCCTACCATCCCACCACTTTTTCCCAATTTTTAAAAAATTTTCAGGTTTTTTCCTGGAAAAGTGCGGTCGAGCGGGGCGGGAGGGGGAGGAAAGCGGAGGTCGCCGCCAAACAAGTACTGAATTGCCGAAAATAGTAGTGTACAGGACTTTGACGGCGCCGTCAACTAGGGGCATCTTGAAATGAGAATCTCACAACGTGAAATAGAAAAATCATCTACCACGAAAACTTTTGGGCAAGTACGACCCCCTAGGATCCTCCAGCATCCTCCAGCTCAGAGTCCCATGGTGGGCAAGTTGTTCGTGAAACGTGAGGTCCAGGCTCAAGCAGAAGCCGAAGGGAGGGAGGACAGTCGCTCTTGCAGCCTCCAACTTACTAGGTTTTTCGGTAAAAGGGCTGTTCAGCTTTTGAGGATGGAGTGTGGCTACGAAAAGGGATAGCCCCAAATTTCTGGCTCTGATTACTACCGAGCAGCCGCAGTTCAAAACGTGAACATTCTAGGAGTGCCCCCCCCCCCAAATGGGGGCATATTAGCCGTAGGTAGCTAAGCATTCATTGATGAGTTCCTGAGACTAACACTTTGAATTGATGCATGAATCATTACTTGAATCAATAATGAATCGAACCCTCATTCAGTGTGACCCCTCGTTCTCCAACGAAGAGGATACAATAGAGGTCCAATCACTGGTAGCCTACCATTATCGGCGCAGTTCCACTTGGAAAGGGCACCAAGCGATGCCCGTACAGACCATCTCGTGAAGTCCTGTTGATTCTTGCAACCAAAGGAGCTCAGCCGTATCATTTCGCAGCTTCACACGGGTTCACAGGTCCTGCAGAAATGGGACCTCTTAGTGAACATGAACTAGCAAAAGCTTCCCCAAGACGATTACAGTAACATCTGCTGCCGAGAAATGCCCCTAGTCAGTAGTCGGTAGCTTCAAATGGACCTCAGTAAGCGCCACGGCCACTATCAGCAGTCTACAAATCCCCCTGGCAAAGGCCGGCATTGATGGAGATTCCGATCAGTACCCGAACACGTCCGGTTTCCCCTTGGCAACCCCTGCATGCCTTCGCCTTGCGATTCCACGAAATGTTTGACGTGTCTTGCTGAACACTCCCTCTTTACAGTAACCCCCGAAACGGGTACGATTGGCTGTGGAAAAAAGTTGACTTATATTCGTACTTTTCAATCGACAATTATACGCTGAATCAGGCTGAGTTATGATCGAGAAACTGGTTTCCGAATGGGGTAGAATAACTTCAGATGAACTCAGTGGCTCCACCGCATAGTTGAATTGAGGTTAGTAGACTCGGCAAACGCTAAACGTCAAGGTTTATGACAATCAAAGTTTGAATGGGGCACGCCTTGCCTCGAAATCCTTGGTCGAGACAAGACAAGGATCCGAGCTAAACACAACGGATCCGAGGCTAGTTTTCTATTGGGCGGCTGTTTATCGACGGGGGGGGGCATTTTGTACTATCACTGCTTCCCTTGTTCCGGTTTGCAAATCTCACTTTAGTAAAACTTGTGAACTCTTGTAAAGCTGGAGCAGGATCGTCTAGCCACCATCCCAAAACGTGTCAACTCAAGAAAACGCTACCTAGATGGGTCGACACATCTATGGAAAGCAAACCTTGGGTCCTATGCGGCACGCATGCCCCCCCCCCTGTCGATAAACTGGCCTTATTCTTAATTGTTCAGCGAAGAGAATGGCAGAGCAAAAGCACTTGTGTGCCTTCCAGAACTATTTCAGGAGATAGCGAAGGTTTGGAGCAGGAAATTTGCAAATTTCTGAAGCCCGCCCCGAAATGACTGCCTTAATCCTCGAAATTAAGAGTACAGCGAAGGTTCACCCACTGGTGGCCTATTACCGCAGATTAAATTAGTTCGATTTGGTCTGATCATGGCAATAAAATGAGCCCCAGGGTAAGCGAAGAAGGTTGGGGGGGGGGGGAGCCTGCTAACGTAAAGATCTTGCCATCACTAGTGGAAAAGTTCATGTTAAAAAATAAGCTGAAACATAGAAACCCTCTGAAAAAATAAATCGAAATCTATCGGGTTTTCTAGATAGGCTCCGATGGCACCGTTTCCACCACGTTACCCCTCCATGACTTCCAAGTTTTCTACCCTAAATTTTTAAATAACTGAAAGGAGAACGGAGGAATTGACAGAAACTAGAAAGACTATCGCCCGGAAAGGTGAGGGTTCGACTCCCGCCTGGGGTTCAAATTTTGCCTATAACTCAGAATTCTTGTTATAACATTTGGAACGCGCGTGACGTGGCCGAACCTGGCGGCGTAAAACAGCATCATCATTATCCAAAACTATCAGCATCAATCTCGTCGCGCATCACACTTCGTAGTCCCCAAGCTTTCTGAGTAAATAGATTTATCTGCTAATAGTCTCCCCGAGCTACTTCGAGCCAGTACTGTTTCCACGATGTTTCATCGCATTACCGATACTCAATAAAGCTTGATTCTTCTGAGTAACCATCAACTTGGTGGTAAGGAAGGAGATATCAATAGAGTCATTTCCACTGGGGGCGGGGGGGGGCATTCAGAGGCGATTCCTGAGGGAAACCGTAAACATCGCAAAAGGGGAGATATCAAGAGGCAGTGTGGTTAAGCCAACAAGGACACTCCTGGCCTTTGGAGAAAATTTTTTGCGAATATCGACTTCCCTCAACATTTTCGTCCTTTGGGACCATACTGTTCCTCTTTCTCAATCTCCATCCTATGCTACTATACTCCTAAGTCTTTTCCACGCTTTCTACCTTTTTTCTGGGAGTTTCCAAAAATTTCTCAGCTTTCTCATAAAAAACCGAGCGGGGAGTGGCGGACTCTGTCACGTGAATCTGAAACGGATAACCAAAAAAGTCGACGACCAAAAGCCATTTTTACTTCAAAGGCAAATAATTAAAAAATATGACCCCCTCGCTAGGATTCTCCAACATATGAAGTGCCCTCACACCTATCCGAAGCTCTTGTAGCTTAGAAAGGTTAAGATGGAGATCCATTACGGTAACTCCTTTAAATGGCCCCCCCACCCTAGTGAGCGTGCACCAAATTGAAGCGCGAGTGCCTGAAGTCATTTAATTGATTGTATGGGTCAAATTAGTACGACAATCTTCGGGGCTCGGGACCCATTCCTAGTTATTTTATCTACGTTCAAACGTTAAGTGATTTTAAAACTTCTTTTAGGTCCGAGTACTCCTTCGTTTACTTTGGTGTTCCATGTGGGTTTTTAACCCCGGAAAATGCACGGGAGGGGCAGCCCTATCCCTGAGACTCAGTGTTCTCAAATTTACCACTTACAGCAATCAATATTATTATTAAGATTTATATAAATCATGTACAATCTGACAAGACAAAACGGCGAGACTTGGTCCACAATGCCACACATAGAACGTGGAAACAATCAATTAAAATCGATCAAAAATCAATCAATGCATTTGAATCAATAATTTAAAAGAACACAGATCCGTAAACGATTGCTTGGGGACTTGTGTGCGCGTGTGCATGAGGAAATAGTATCCTTGTGAAATGAAAAAGAAAAACGAAAAATTAAAAAAAAGAAGAGCACGGGGATGAGAGATGTGGACTGGCTTCACAAGCCCCAGTGATGGCTGACTTGGCCCAGATTACGTGACCAGAAGTCAGCCATGACCAACGAAGATCATTTGGTAAAATTTCAATAGGAAAAGCAGTACGTGATGAAAATGAACACTATCTTTCTATACTAGTAACCATTGTACCCTGAATGTGGTAGAATATACGGTTGGTAATAGGCTGACTGGTCGTAGAACGGCTTGAGCTCATCGCTAGAGGAGTACTTGAGTGGATCGTAAGTGGATAGAGGAGTGTTTAATGGCGGTGGCATTAAACCCGATGGTGGTACGACAGTCTGCTGAGACTGTGGTGGTGGTAGGACTGTGGACGGCAGATTGGAAGGACCGAGACCAGTAGGAGGAAGTCCTGCAGAGGGCAGGCTAGTTGGTGCCAGTCCGGTCATATGTTGCCAATCCGTCACAGCATTGTTCGATCCACCTTCTTCAGGAGGAGTTGAATCGGCTCGATCTTCAGATTCACCTTCTTCATCCGATGTCCGCTCCACGCTACCTTTCGATTTCTTCTGCTTCGATCGGCGATTTTGAAACCAGATCTTTACCTGAAATGACGTCCAATCAATTTGAAAATTTCATAAAATCTCTTATTTGCACCCTTTTAACCTTCAAATTTGGCCTTTTCATTCACATGTGTGTATGTCAGTTCGTCATCGGACACGCGTGTCCTACAGCGAGCGTTCTTTGTTATAGGGTAGGATAATTGGTGCAGGATGCCGGCGCTTGGAGGTCGTACGCGCGTCACCAACACACCACACGCAGGTTACGGTAGCGCTGCGGCAACCGACGTTGAAGCGCGCAGGTGACGCAGGTGTTCGCAGGGGCGGAAAATCGCAACGCGCGTGCCGACGAGACATCGCTACGAGTTGGGATGGTCGAGAATGATAATTCACCCCGGATACGGTAGTCGTGGAAACGACGGTCATCTGTGCTTCGCTACGAACGCCCTTTGAAGGACAATCCAAAGTCGAACATTCGGTTTGACTCTACAGGAGCAGGGAAGGGGGGGGGGGAAGACGGGCAGAGTTTTGAAGCTGCGGGAAGAAGGGTTCAAACGAGAGGATTATTTTTGAGCTAAGCAATGGAGAGATGAGCCGGGTAGGAACAGAACAGTTTCCCGATCAGAGAAGGAAGTTAAAAGGAGTAAGACGGAACACTTCTCTAGCCCAATCGCTGCCACATTCGGACTCTAACAGTTGCCTTGGGTAGGACTTGTACCCGGTTTCTTGGGCTCGTGCTAGGCTATCTTTGGATTTCCAGCCCCTGGATAGCTGGACACGGGTCCCCAATATGGTCCCCAAGTGCTGATTGATAGGCACTCTGTGTGATCTCTCCATTAGACAGCAATAAATCGGAGCGGTTCTGAAACCTTCTGGACCCCATTGATTTTAATTTCTAGCTCCAAATAGTTCAGTTAGGAGAAAAATGCAGTGAATCCAGTTTTAAACATCTCTGAACGTCGCTGATAATTCAAAAAACGATTTTGAAAGGTTTCAGAGTCAAAATGGACCCGTCAGGCTAGGTCATCATTATCGTTGAACGTTAAACCTCTCCCGCAGCCCTCTCAACCAGCAGTTAATGGTCCATGAATCTCGCACTCGGCCGACGAGGTGATGAGAATGGGAATCGTGTCAACATCTGGATACCTATGCCTTTTCAACGGTGACACCTAAAGCGTGAAATTAATGGGTTTAAGCGGGATTTGGCTCTCGAACATCTGAGCTGAGCTTTTCGCACGGGTTAGGGTCGTTATTGAGCGTCAATGATCGTTTAGCGCAATTATTCGATTTTGCTAGCGCTACATCTGGCCGGACTGAGAGCAAAAGGGGTATACAACCAAAAATCTTGCGATGCGGTGGTCCCCCCAAAATCCAAAGCTTACAGAAAGCAGGAGTTGAAGTCGTTTTCCATTTACTATAAGGGACGCCAATAATCAAATTCACTCAATCCTAGAGTGCCAAATTAATCCATCCGCGATTTTTGTGCGATCACCCGGTTGTGCGATAGCCTCCTACGTAACGGGCAGCAAACTATTAAGGGCATAATGGACGCCTTCGAGCAGATAGCAAAAATGCCAAAAACCTTGCTTTTCGGCAATACGGGCCATCCCAGTCCATGCATGAGTTGTGCCCGAAAAGCAAAAACCGGCCCTTCGAAGTGCCACTTGGGGCTACGTTTTCAAAGAAAGTAGTGTTCTTTGATAAGCCCCATGCTCTTATCAAACCAATAGCCGAAGACGGTTTGCTGCATATTGCCATGATCAGCAAACTAGATAAAAGCCCCTGCTCTATCAAACCAACGCTCTTCATGCTAACCTTTCTCTGAAAGATTTCCGGACTCCACTGCTACTGGAATACCTGGGCCCCATGGACCTTTATAAACCTACCCATACGAGTTTCCTCCTCTGCTCCCTTTTTCCAGCAGATCCCCAGGCTCCAATCCGCTAAAGGAATACTACTGGAACACCTGAGCCGCACAGGGCTCTTATGAACCACCCATACAGCTCCTTACCTAGCTGCCACCCACCTGCTTTTCCTTGCCATCATTTCGCTATCTGGGATAGTCACGGACGGTACCATCAGAAAGCTTCACAGAGTACCCTTTCTGAAAACAGCCCCAGCTGTCGTATAAGGTCCGAAAAACTCCCATATTCGCTACTGTTTAATGCCTGCAACCGCTACTAGGAGAATACCAGCAGCGTTCTGCGTCAGAATAGGGTCTTTAAATTCCGGCACTGGAGAGAAATCGGGAGCTGTTCTGCTTGGGAGGGCATTTCGCACTTTTGTTAGTTCCTTCTGGTAATTCACGTTAAGTAGTGGTCCTCGATTTGGGAAGACCGGTCAACTCTTGCGAAGCTCCGAAATGGTACGAGTGAGTCACTTTGGTTGGAAGATTTCAGTGGTCTCAACAAGGTAACCTGTACACCAATTGTTGCCCCAACAAGCTCAACTGCGCCAGTAAGTTATCCATTTCGGCTTCTCTGCCCAAAAGAGGGAAATGTGCGAGCCGTTCGGCTCCATCGAGATCTCGGAAAACCTCCGGAAAAACTCTGACGTTACGGCTTTCTGGGCATTCTGTGTGTCAAACCCCTTACAACAGGGGTTGTTT